GGGGGTCACCAGTCCCTGGCACTGTTATTTTGGGGGTCGCGGGCTGAAAAGTTTGGGAACAACTGTTTTAGGGCGACTGTGGCTGTGAGGAAGTGTGGTCGTCTTTCAACCAGAAGGTTGTGGGTTCNTTAACCAAAACACCTGCCTCTAAACCTCCACCTATGACCATAATAATGATTAGTGTGGACAGAAGTGTGATGTGTTGCACCTGTAAAACACACCCAGCGGTGAAACACCTGCACATCACTGCAGCAAAATGTTGTGAGTGGTTGATGAGGGGTGGGTCATGCATTTTGAATAGCCATAATAATGAGTAAATAGTTAATGCAACTATTATATTGTCAGGAAGAAATCTATATTCCTTTATTTTTGACCAGAAACTCCAGATCCTGGTGTTATATTAACAGGTCGGGCTGGAGTGGAGGGAACAGTCCGACCTGTGAGTGTGGAGCGATAATTACTCCACCCTACTCACATGCCACGGTGTTAAAACAACTCGTAAGAAAAGTCAGTTAGTTTCTTTTCCGAAAGATGAATAGAGCACTTTGAGAAAAGCAGGAGAAAGATGCACGGAAAGCCTTTCAAAAATGTTTTGTGTGGAATCCTTCGAAATAAACCAAAAGGAGGCGGAGAGGGAAGTCTGCCAGGTAGTCAGCATATCTAGTCTAGTCTACTACAACGGAGCCATTCGAGAGTGAAGCACTCAGCAGAAGTGCTTTTATGCCAGGATGGTGGGTGGTGTCTTTGAACAACAGTCGAAAAGTACCCACCCAGTGAATATCGAACGGTATTTTTACTCAAATTCTCATCCCCTTCTTGATTGCGCTCTTCCTTTTAAAAGAAGTGCCAAGTATTTAAACAATAAAAAAAACAATTGTTCAACCAATGCATCAGTTGCAGTTGGCTTAATTAGTTTCAACACTAAATCTTGGAAGCTTAAACTGCTGTGTGTTAAATAACTAAACCTACCATTTCATGCTTGTAAAGCCTTGGTAACCATTTATTCTTTGACCTGAATCATATACCTGAGCGATCAAGTCAAGCACTTTATAAGAAGGGCGCACCATTATTCATGTTCCAGAGCACAGCTATCCGTAGCAATTTGTCCTCCAAAATCTTCTCTATTGAAATGATACTGATTCTATTTCAAGGAAAGCAACAGTCTTAGTTAATCATTAGCTCTCTAAATAATAAAGCGTACATTTTTAAAGTAGAGGGCGCATCCAAAATATCGACCTTCATTCATACAGACCGAACAATAAACAAACAAAACTAAATGTATGATCTCAAAATGTAAAAAAATGTATGTAGTGGCCAAAATCCCCAAAAGTTTGTCTTGTAACCTTCACCTCAAATGTATTGTTCTTGGTCATATGTAGAGCTTGGGCCGCCCAAGCTCTACATATGACCAAGAACAATACATTTGAGGTGAAGGTTACAAGACAAACTTTTGGGGATTTTGGCCACTACATACATTTTTTTACATTTNCGAAACGTCCAGCGGGTTTTGTACTGCGAGTCTGACACTGCTTCCCAGGCCCAAGCTCTACATGTGGCCAAGAACAATAACTTTTGAGGTGAAGTTTACAAGACAAACTTTTGGGGTTTTTGGCCGCATAATTACTAACTCCTAACATATCTTGTATAACTGATATGGTTCTGTTGAACATAATGACAGCCTCTCCATTCAACAGGACAGTTTAGCAGAATGAATTTCCTGAAAACATGAT